GTATGCAAAATGTATAACAATAGTGCAAAATCATACCTGCAATTTATTTGGGAACAGAGGAGCAATAGTAAAGAAGCAAATAATGCACAATGAAGGAAAGGGGACACTTTTTAGTTTATACTTTGTATTATATGTGCAACATAATGCTTTAAATTGAGTTTTCATTAGCTACCTGCCATTAGCATCAAGAGTCTTGTTTCATGTTTATAGTTTGACGACAACTTAATGTAAATGAGCATTGAGAAACCTTTTTGCTTTAAATTTGGTTTCTACAAATTTTCTTCAAATTTGTCTTATGCTCTTTCCCCATTCACATTTGATTGCAGGTATTTCAAGGGTCCTGAGCTTCTTGTTGATTTGCAAGATTATGATTATTCTTTAGATTTGTGGAGTCTCGGTTGTATGTTTGCTGGAATGGTGAGCATTCCCATCTTTCTGTTTTATTAACTATTAAGTTATATATATCAGATACTCCTCCTCTGACTATGTTTATGCTGGTATTTTGGCCGGGAAATATCAAGTGTTGTGTATCCTGGTCATCCCCCTGCCCAGTATCACCCTGTGATAACTGACACTTGTGCATCTGCTGGGGGGTGCTTAAATATGAGAAATAGTTTTTTGTGTCCCAAAATGATTATTTTAGGTGTGCAGGATAAACTTTTTCTTCTTCTTAGTATCCATGGACAGTGTATCTTGATCTGCTTGCCTATTTATCCATGGGTGGCAGATGGCAAGGAGGTTCAAAATTTGATACCATGTCAAAGTATGTGATGCTCTCTTCTGATGCTTATTCTTGAGCCTTGTGCTGTACAGATATTTCGTAAGGAGCCATTCTTCTATGGGCATGATAACTATGATCAGCTAGTCAAAATAGCAAAGGTATTCATTCTTATAAGAGAGTTCAGTTCTGTCGTTTGTTGTTGTATTTATTACACTGAAAATAGTTTTAGTCATATGCTCTACTCTGTCAAAAAGATTTTTGTGTTGTGTATGTTTTGGAGTATTTCAATTCGTGTAACAAATGTGTGTGTGCCCTATTATCTGTATCATATCTGTATCATATTTAGTGTTGTTTTCAAAAAGAAGAAAAAGCACTTGAAATCTAATTTAAGTCTTGGCATTTTCTACTGCAACAGGTGCTTGGGACAGATGAATTAAATGCTTATCTGCACAAGTACCGCATAGAATTAGACCCACACCTTGCAGCTCTAGTTGGGAGGTAGGTGGTATTTTTCATTGTTTGTTTCTTATTCCTCTATTACCAGCAATGCCGACTTTTGTTTTTGGTTTTTGTTTTGTTTTTTTTTTTTTTTTTTAAAAATGCTTTCTGATGTAGGCATAGCAGGAAACCATGGACAAAATTCATTAATGTTGATAATCAGCACTTAGCGGTTCCTGAGGTAAATTCTTGTCATTGTGTTTAATACTACTTGTATTAAGTATTCCGTAGTCTAAATTTCTTCTGGTGCCTTTTTCTCTAGGCGCTTGACTTTGTAGACAAGTTGTTGCACTATGATCACCAGGAAAGACCAACTGCAAAAGAAGCAATGGTAAAATCCTAGTTTTTCCTCAACCTAGACTATTCAAAGCACGGCCCTTAAGTAGGGGCTAGTGCTGCATGGTCTCTGCCCCACAGGGCCTACATTCAGTTAGCTTGCAGATTTGGAGTTGGTTGTTTCTACTCGTTACAGGGAGTCAGAAATTTGTTTGTGCTTACATTCCAAATTGTTACACTATCACTTCTTCCTCATATGAGAGATGGTTGGAACTGAAGCTATAATGTTTCCTTCACATTAATGGACAGGAATTCATTTGAAGAGGTACTACGTTCTTCCAATGACAAGCTATTACCAAACAAATAGAAGTTATTTAAAACTTATTTCCTTTTTAATTTGGTAGCCATAGTTTACACCAAAAGGTATTTTGGCAGTGGGATGAAGAGCATAATCTTTTGGTGTTTGTGTGGCTAACAGATTTATATCTTTTCCTCCAACCAAAAGAGAAAACGAAAGAAGCTTATAATTTCTATTGGTTCCGTAATTGCTTGTCATTTGAAGGTAGCATCACTCTTTGAGATGCTTTTCCTGTCCATTACTGGGCAAAGACAATTATCATGTTACAGTTCTTTCCCGTCTACCAAGCATGTGAGGAAAAAGTAATGGTGTACCAAGTTGGAACAGTTCATACAAATAAGTTCAGACTCCCCACTTTGAAAGAGCCAGTCCAGAACACGGGCACTATGCTCATTACTGGGAAGGAACTTTAGGACTTTTTCCAGGGCGGCTGTGCTTTGAACAGTCTGGGATTCTTAATCCCTGTAGCATGGGCACTAAGCTCGTTGTGTTGTAATGACATAAATAACCTTATCTACGTGATGCAGGCCCATCCTTATTTCTACCCGATCAGAAATGCAGAAAGCAGCAGAACTCGCGCCCAGTAGATTGAGTTCTAGATGCTTGTCGAATCATGCTCTGTTTTGTACTCAGTTGAGCCCTCCCTCTGTAATCTTACCTCAGTTTTTATTGCGGTGGTTGAATTCAGATGTAGGGTTACCAGCGTTTGCGTTGTTATAAGACTGCCAGTTGTATTCCCTCTTTTTGGTTCATTTTTACCGTTGTACTTCCAATTTTTACTTGTTAGATTTCTGCGGGACTTGCTTGTTTTACTTGTCATGTGTGCCTCAAACTTGTGTATGCATTTGTAATCTGATTTCAGGCTGGACTCTGTAATCTGATGATATACTTGCCTACCCTCTTTTGAAGTAAGCAGTCTCTTGACCAATTCTGGCTGAAAATTTACCTAGCGCACACTTTGAACTGGTGATGTTTGGTGCAAGTAAATTGAATGAGTCTTGGAACTCAGCCATTCTATTGCTCCTTTTTATCCGTCCGAAAAAGGGATATGTATTTACATTATTTTCAAGTGTGTAGATTGCCATGTTGAATGGGGCATTTCTCAACTTACTGCATTCCGAGTTTGAATTCGCCATTTTCTTACTTATTAACAAAACTCTCTGTCAATTTAAAGAGGATGAAGAAAAAAAAAAAAAATCAAATTAACGATGTCAATAAAACTAAAGAAAAAGAATCAAAATAAAAGTTATGGGCAATACATTAAACACAAAATAATTTTACTGTTTTTATCAAAGCCTCACAATCAGGTAATCATATCAGTTGACCTTATTTTTTCTTCTATATTTTTCTTCCAAATAAAATAAACTTTTAGTGACAAAATAGTTATTAAGAAAATGTTGCTAAAGATATGAACAACTTCTTTAGCAAAAAAATTGTTTGTGGTTTGTTATAAAAAAAGCTTTAGCAGTCCTTTTTTATTTTCGCTTTTTGCAAATTTTATTTTCAAAATTTTAGTAAGTGCATGCATAGGTATAACATGTGTATAATTTCTAGTTTAGACTAAAATTAAGACGAAGAATTTTTCTAGAAGGATTGGATTAAAAAAGTTATGGAGAAACTTAGATAAGCATGACATATACTAAATCTTAGTCACCACATTGGAGTAACTCAAAAGGAGTAACAACTACAAAAAGGAAAAGGAGGAAAGGAGAGGAGTACTAACTTTCCTCCTCCCTTAAGCTTAATGTTATTGTGTTAACTGTGTGTTACTTGCTAGTATTTATGTTTAACTTGTTTTGTTTCGTTTTTGGTGCATTTTTATGGGTCAATTAAAATTTTCTGTTTACTAGAAAAAAAATTCTTTATATTACTTGTTGTCTCTCCTTTGCTTCTGTTTTATAGCTTCGCTTCTGTCTGGAGGCTGGGGTTTTTCTATTAATGTAGTGTCTCCATTTCGAAAAGGTTTTGCTCGGATCGTATATGTATTTTTATTTTTAAAAACAAATCATATTATCTACACGAAAAGGAAGGGGTAGGTTTAGCATCGTAATAGATTTAGCAAAAATATGGTTTAAATGCTTCTTGGGCAAGAATTGAACCTAGTACTTCTCATTTATAAGTGAAGAGAAATACCAATAAACCGTAATACTAAGTGGCAGATGGATCGTATACGTATTAAACCATCATATTAACATTTGTACGTCCTAATAAACAATCATATAACATTTAGATCATCATATTCAATGTCAATATATATATATATATATATATATATAACTTCTCTCTCTAATCCACTTTCCTTTTTTCCCCATTTCTCCTTCCCATTTAAAAATAAAAATAAAAAATATTTTCACATACAAAGTGTGGGACATATGCTAGTATCGTTTTTACGAAAACCTTCTCACTTGTACGGTTATTTCTCAACTTATCATCATTTTTTTTCCAAAAAATTTAATTTTTGCACCTATCAAACTGCCAATGTCTTGCTCCTACTCTTATACAAAAGATATTTATTTACTCTAATTTTTGCATTCTTATAGTTGTTAACTGGGAATCGTTTTATCTAGAACCATATAGTATTGTAGTCCAATTTATATATTCGTATCAATTTGCATATGATTGCACGTCTATTTCAGGTACCTGCAACCTGGAAGAAGCAAATTAATTCATTAAGTAGGCTAAATGAATATTTTGCTTCAGGTTCAATGGCCTTTCTTCAATACCCTAACATGTTTATGATCTGTATTGAATATGTATACTCATTCAACTGATGAATGATGTAGATTTTTTTTTTTTTTTTTGTCAAAGGTAAACTTTATTAGATTCTAACAGAAACGTTTACATCTTGAGCAAGAATATTAAATAAAAACACCGGCCCCATTGCATCCCAACGAAAAGCACCTCCATGTGAGGCCACATATGAGGCCACGACATGCGCAGCAACATTTCCACACCGCTTAACAAAACCAAATGTCACTCTTCCAAATTGAGATACCAGAAGACGTATATCATGTAAGATGATGTAAGGTGTTAAGTGACTGTTAAGAAAGCTGTTAGTAGCCGTTGGTTTGTTAACTCTGTTATCAAAAGGTTGTTAGGTAGTTAGTTCTGTTAAAACAGATATCTTGTGTAAGCCATGTGTGGCTATATAAAAATGTAATAAAGTAATACAGAAATACAATTCACATTCTCTCTCTAGGTTTCTCTGATCTTCTCTCTCTCAAGAGTTCTTCTTTCTTCTTTGCTGATTATTACTTTCTCTGCAACATTGTTACATTCTCTGCAATTCTTCACTTCCGTTATCATGGTATCAATCACCAGAAGGTCTTCTGTGCCGGTCTTTCGCTGGGTTCTTTGAGCATTTGTGCTTTTTTGTGATTTGGGTTAAGATTTCGACTACCATCAGGTTCTTTTGTTTTTTTGGTTTCTACAATGCACATCATCTGTTTGTATCAATGTATAAGTGAAAGATTTCATGAGTTATTGCTTAAAATTCAAGGCCGCTAGCCAAGATTAAGTCTTTGAAGTAGTGAGTTTTTGATAAGGCCGACAGCCAAGATTAAGTATGTAAAGTACAGAGTTGGATAAGGCCGATAGCCATTTTTCTCTGAAGAATTCGATAAATTCTGGATTGTTGCACTTTTATAAGGCCAATAGCCAAAATGTATTGTCTGATAAATCTTGGGTTCAATTGGGTGCTGGATATAATTTGCAGTTTGTTTAAAGATTCTTGAAATATCATAATGTCTGAGTCTGTGAAAATTGAGGGGTTGCTAGGAATGCTTACAGTTATGCTTCAAGATGGAAATTTTGTGAAGTGGAGCTTTCAATTTCAATCTGTTTTAAGAGGTTATGATATGTTCGATTTCTTTACTGGAGATTCACCATGTCCACCGAAGTATGTGATCAATATAGTGACTGGAATTACCAAGGAAATTACTACGGCTTACAAAGATTGGGTGAAGAAGGATCTTGCTTATCGCTACTCTTTCCGATGATGCTATGGAGCATGTCATTGGATGTAAGAGTTCACAAGAAGCCTGGAACTGCTTATGAGAAAGATTTGCATCACTATCAATGGTTCGTGTGGATCAACTGAACACATAATTCCACACTACACAGAAATGAGGAGATTATGTGGACAAGTTCATGCTCAGACTCAAGGGGATTAAAGATCAGTTAATTTATGCTGGTGAAAATATATCAGATAATGATTATATTATTGCTGTCTTATCTGGATTGCCTACTAATTTTGAGGTAATCAAGACAGTGATTCTTGCAAGGGACTCTACGATGTCACTTAAAGATTTCAGAGCACACTTGTTGGGTGTAGAAGCTAGCATTGAGTTAAGAATGCAATCTTTATCCAATTCCATGTCTGCCATGAATGTGCAAGGAAATGGGGCAAGTTCCAGCAGATTTCAAGGAGGACATCAGAATTATGAGCATGAAGAGAGTTCAAATTCACAAGGGTATAACAATGGCTCAAACTTCCAAGGAGGATCTGGTGAGCAATGGGAACAAATTTCAACAAAGAGGTAATTTCTCAGGCAATAACAAAAAGTTTAATGGGAGCAATGGAGCCAATTTTTCTGGGAATAACAACTCAAAATCTTTTTCTGGAAATTTCTCAAATAGATCTAGAAATAATTCATTCTCTGGAAATGGAAAAAGTTCTCAATTCTCTGGTAACAATTTGTTCAAGAAGGATCTTAAAATGGCAATACTAACTACAAGAATGCTAGCTCACCCGAGTGTTAAATTTGTTCAAGGAGGGGGCACACTACTCCAAACTGTTATCATAGAGCTGACAACAATGGACAATATTCAGGTTTTATGACCTATCAAATTTGTGGAAAAAGGGCCATATTGCACTTGAGTGCTATCATAAGCACAATTTCTCTTATCAAGGTAATCCATCAGCACCTTCTCTTATTGCTTTATCTGCACAGACCAACATGAGGCAATCAAATATCAATGTAGTCAATGACAATGGTTTTAATGCTGTTAAAACTTGGGTTCTGGACACTGGTGCAACATACTACATAACTGCCAATGCTATCAACTTGAATCAAGCTGCACCAAGCAACGAAGATGAGAAGATCATTATAGGCAATGGTCAAGGTTTGATAGTTGAGCATTGTTTCCTCAGCCATTACTACTTCTTCAAACCACTCTTTAATATTGAAAAATATTTTACATGTGCCAATGATAACTGTCAACTTATTATTTGTTAAGAAACTATGCAAGAATAATGGTTGTTGGTTCATATGTGATGATGTGATGTTTTTCATACGGACAAGGCCACGAGGGAGATTTTATACCAAGGAATGAATGATGATGGGGATCTGTTCAGAATTCCAGTCAAAACTTTTTCAGATTCATTTGCTGAAAGGTTGAGTAGATGTGCTGCATTCATTAGAAAGAAGGTCAGTACTTTAGTTTGGCATCAATGATTTGGACACCCTTCATATGAGGTTTTACAAGATATGTTGAAGACTGCAAACATATCTATTAGTATAGATACATGTCCAACCATATGTTCTTCTTGTATTCAAGGAAAGATGAATAGGCAACCATTTCATGTTAGACAACATAGAGCTAGTTATCTATTTAAGAAAATACATAGTGATGTATGAGGTCGTTCTCCAAGTCAATCTGTACAAGGTCATAGATACTACATAAACTTTGTAGATGAGTATTCAAGGTTCATGTGGATATTTCCCATGACAAATAAATCAGATGCTTTCTCAATTTTTGTCAAGTTTCAAGCTTTTGTGTTCAATCAGTTTAATACCACTTTAAAATGTTTGTAATATGATGGTGGAGGTGAATACATGAGCAAAGCATTTGTTGATTTCTTAGCAAGTAAGGGTATTACTCATATGATTTCTTGCCCTCACAACCCATAGTAAAATGGGCTTGCTGAGAGGAAACATAGGCATGTTGTGGAAACTGCAGTTACATTAATGTCTCAAGCCAATCTATCTCCAAAGTTTTGGTATCATGCATGTGCATATGCTATTTTGTTAATTAATAGAATGCCATGCAAGGTGCTAAATATGAAATCTCCATATCAGTATGTATTTGGTCATAATCCTGAGGTTCAACAATTCAAGATATTTGGGACTGCAGTGTATCCATTCTTACGATCTTTCAATAGTAACAAACTTTCAACCTAGATCCACTCAATGTATATTTCTGGGATTTTTCATTGGTTATAAGGGGGTGATTTGCTATGAGAAACAAACTGGAAGATTGATTGTGTCAAGACATGTTATACATGATAAAGAAGCATTTCCATATAAGTCTACAGTAAAGCCACAGAACAGTAATCAGTGTAATTCAGTTTCTAATAAAGAAGTTCCTTTTATGATACAAATGCCAATTCCAAGTGTACATTAGTCTCAATCAGTAATCAGTACAGTTCAAAATCAGGATTCTAGTTCCATGTCTATAATAGAAGGTGAATTGCAGTATACTAATATCAGTATCTAGATCATTATTAATGTTAGATATTCATCCCCATCACCATCACTTCACTACAATAACATATATATCACCCTTGTTGCCTGTCCATCATGACTCAAATCTTGAGGTACTTCTTCCCATATCTTCAAATTCTACTGATGTAAATATCAATTCTTCAGTGTCAAATTCAAATTCTCAGATTGAGGTTGTTTTCTCTGCCAATCAAGGATACTTTATGTTTGATCTTTACATGTTCTTCTTTCTTGACGTGTTCTCCACTCATTAATGTCTGGTAATGAACATTGGGTGAATGTCAAGTGTTCTTAGCTATATCTCAGGTGAGTGGTTTACGGGGATAAGATGACCTACCGACATTTATCCAGGGATTACAAAGTCGAGCAAAAGGTTTTCATCTTAGAGGTGGAAGATAAGTCTTTTGGTGAAAGGATTCTGTTAACAGAGAGAACTAGATACAGAGGGTACCAGATTTCTTTCGATTTGGGCTGCGCTGCTTGGCTCATTGATCAGTTAAAGGAGGCGGTAGTTACAAGCGAAAAGGATGGTTTTGTCAGGAATATCTTCGTTCCTAAAGGAAGTAACTTTTTCGGCTGGAGAAGTTTGGAGGACCTACTGTCTAAAATTCTCCGAGGGGGAAAGAGAGCCGGGGCTTCTCAGAGGAATGTGAAGAGGGATGGAATTGAGCTTTCGAGCAGCCACTCGGGGATTGGCCCTCAGGTTTCGTATAGAGATGCAGTTCTTGGAGGCAAGAAGTTGACAAATGGGGCACCCCTTCGAAACGCCAGAGAGGAAAGATGGATCAAGAAAAACTGGAATATGAGAGATACTTCCACGGAATCCTATAGTTGGGGGAGTGTAATCGTTTGTGAGAGACTTGTGGTGCATCAGCCTTGGAGAGTTGTGGAGGCCTCACTTCAAAATCTGCTGGGAAAGAAAATTTGGCTTTCACCGTTCCAATGCAACAAGGCCTTGTTTGTTTGTCAGAACGAAGAGGAAGCAACAAAAATTGCACAACTTGGAGTTCTAGCCATGAATAAGTTACCAGATGTGGTGTTGTCTGGATGGTGGGACAGTATCAAATCAAACGACAGAAAGGTGGTTAGTTATGGTGGATGGGTTGCTCTGGAAGGTTTACCGCCGCATCTTTGGACCAATGATTTTTTCCAAAAGATTGGCGATGCATGCGGTGGTCTGGTAGAAGTTGATCGTAGAACTGCTAACTTTGGTTTTTTGATTGAAGCAAAGTTAAAAATCAAACCCAACAACACTGGCTTTATTCCAGAGTTCGTAAATGTGGTAGATGGAGAATCAGTATTCAGGGTAAAAATCCGTCAACTTTCGCCAGCAAAGAGACCTATTCTTTCGGCGGCTGGTTGTGGAGTAACCACAATAACAAATGGCTCTTTGAAGACTGAATCGAAGTTACAAAGGATCATCGGAATTATCCCTCCGGCGAAAGCAGATTTTCAGCAGAATGCCCCTATATCAGGGACACGTGTCTGTTTTCAGATTGGAGATTTTGAATGCCCTGTCATTGTTGGATCTGAAAGAAAGCAAGGTGAAAGCATGCGCGTGACAGAGAGTGTGCGGGTCGAGAAGCCTGTAATTAATGACTCTACTTTTTCTGTAAGAAAGCAAGGTGAACAACAGAGAGTAGGTAAACTGACAGGAGCGGTGGAAATGACAGAAGCGGTGGATTTATCAGAAGGAGCAGAAAAAGCAGTTGCAGGGGATTATTTTAATAATTCAATAGAGAAAGGAAGTCAGAAAGAAGTGGTCTATTCGGATAAAGGCAAAGGCTTGGAGGCATGCGGGACAGTTGGTGGTGGTGGTATTCCCACCGAAGGAGCACAAAAATCAACGAAGGGGTTTTATTTTAATAGGACAAAAAGGGAGGTTAATCTCAAAAGTGGTCTATTTTGGAATAAAGAAATGGTGGTGGAGGCATGTGGGTCTTCCATTAATAAGGAGAATTCTTTATTTCACTCTGCAAGGATGGTGGGTCTTGAACCACATAATCTTTTTGCTGGGTCATGTCTAGGCCCATGTAATCTAAAATTCAAGGGGCCGAGATTTCAACTACAAGAAGGAATGGTTTTGTCAACCATGGATAATATGCAGACATCTTTGTTGGCGGAATCAAAACACTCGAAGTCGTTGACAATTGGAAGCAGCATTTCAAAGTATTCAACAGTGAACATTTCTCAATGTCCTTCGGCTATGAAAGCTCATCACAAGGGTGTTTCAAGTAAAACTCCAAAGTGTTTCAATTTAAATTTCCTTGGGAGATTTGGCGATTCTGATATTTGTGGAAAAAGACTGAAGCATGTTCTCCCAGATGAGTTCGGATCCTATCTGAATCCTTTCGAGAGGCCTAAACTGAAGGAAATTCAATCTCCCAATCTCACCTTCTTAAATAATGTTTGTGAACAGATGGATGAAAAGGAGAGTGATGTCGATGATGTTCCAATTAGGCCATCGGGCAGGTTGATTGAAGAGGAATCATCTGAACAAAGGATGAGGTTGACAGAGGATCTTGGTCTGGATTATTCTCAATTATCAGATTTTGGTGAAGACGAATACATGTCACAATCATCAGTTTCAGAGGAGGAGTTTGGCGATTCTTCACAAGACGAAAAAGAAACTTTCGATGTTTTTGATCGCTTTAACGATGTGTTTCACAATCTCTTCAATGATACAACAATGGAAACAAGGACGACGTTGGATGAGGTACCTTCTCAGTCGCATCATATAGCAAATTTAGACACTGTGGAACAAGTTGAATACAAAGATACTGGAAAAAACAAGAAACTGTTAAAGTACAGCAGAAGGAAAAGGTCGGCTAGCGTATCAGTCAAACGTGAAGCACAAACTAGAACTACCAAATTCATGTCAAATATGAAAGTTTCTTTGGTGCCACTGAAAAGGTCTTTATTTCTTGAGAGGAGTACTGGGAAAGGCATTGCTAGCAAGCTTGTGGGTGGAAACAAGGCAGAAAAGAAAATTCAAGGGGGCATTGTCAGAATTAATGAAGATAATTAGCTGGAATGTTAGAGGATTGGGAAGTAGGCAGAAGAGGTTGATTTTGAAACAGCAATTCAGGCGATTAAAGCCCGACATTATTATCTTACAAGAAACAAAGAAAGAAACAATTGACAGATCGCTTGTGGCTAGTGTTTGGGGAAGCAGATTTAAAGAGTGGATTTACGCCCCTGCTCAAGGAAGATCTGGGGGTATAGCTGTGATTTGGAACACCAAACATATCTCGGTTATTGAATCTTTGGTTGGAGGTTTCTCTGTCTCCATAAAAATTAAAGCCCTCAATGGGTTGGACTGGTGGTTATCTGGTGTCTATGGTCCCTGCAAAAATAGAGAGCGAAAGGAGTTCTGGGAAGAAATGGCTGGCCTTTACGGTCTTTGCGGACCAAGATGGTGTGTAGGAGGAGATTTTAACGTGGTGAGATTTGTAAATGAGAAATCAAATGGGGGAAGAATGACTACAAGCATGAGGAATTTTAATGATTTCATCCAAGATACAGAACTCAAGGATTTGGAGTTGCTCAATGCTCAATTTACTTGGTCAAACTTCAGAGAAGAACCTGTGTGTCGGAGGCTAGACAGATTTTTGATCTCGGTAGGTTGTGAAGAGATTTTTCCAGAGGTAAGACAAATGGCTTTGGCAAGGGTCACTTCTGACCATTGTCCAATCCAACTAGATACTAACAAGGTGAAATGGGGGCCAAGTCCTTTCAGATTTGAAAACATGTGGCTACAGCACCCAGATTTCAAGAACAAGTTCAAACAATGGTGGCAATCTGAGCAGGTGGAGGGTTGGGAAGGGTATAAATTTTTGTACAAGTTAAAAGCTATCAAAAGAAAGTTGCAAAGATGGAGTAAGGAAAGTTTTGGTGATGTCGAGAAACAAATTAAGGATGCTGAGGCTAGCATAGAGGATTTAGATAGGAGAGAAGGGTTGGAAGGGCTAGATGTTGCGGCTAAAAGAAAAAAGGAAGAGTTACTTTTCCTTGTGGAAGATCTAGCTTATAAGGAAGAAGTGAAGTGGAGACAGAGAGGTAAAGTGGAATGGGCTAAAGAAGGGGACGGTAATACTAAATTTTTCCATAGAATAGCAAGTGGAAGAAGGAAGAGAAACTATATAGAAAGGTTGGAAGTGGAAGATAGGGGAGTGGTAGAGGATGCAGAAGAGATAGAAAAACATATCGTTAACTTCTTCAAGTCCTTGTTTAGTAGTAACGAAGAGGTATGTTGGGGCTTGGAAGGCATCAATTGGGCCTCAATAAGTGAATCTGAGGCAGCTTGGCTTGAGAGGCCTTTTGAGGAATCGGAAGTACAAAGAGCAGTCTTTGA